TTAATACACTGCTTTGATAGCCCTCAGCCTTCACTGGCCCACTGACTATCCACTGGGGAGCATTTTAGCTTTAGTGGGGGAGAGAGGCATAACTGTTGATCATACTAACAAGCTAAAAAAATAAAAAGAAGTATATATCACCTAAAGTTTTGGGTATCTTCAACATTTACATGTTATTCTAAAACCAGATAAAGAGGAATTGAATAAGCAAGTTTTCAACACAATATTTCCAAAAATGCATCTTTGGTGTAAACATTTCTGAAATTACTGATCATAAGTAGAGTCTAATACATGAGGAGTTTTAGTGACATTTGTAGATCTCTATGCACGGCTCAATCCAAATGAAGTTGGAGACAGAGAAACAGTTTAGTTAATAACCCTAAGGGGGAGACAAACCATCATCTACCAAATCACATTAGGAATCAACATAATATACAACATACAACATACTGATCCAGTGCAGCAGATTCACCTAAATATAAAACAATTTTAACTGTAGGATTATTTATTATTATTATTATTATTATTATTATTATTATTATTATTATTATTATTATTATTATTATTTGTTTTAATAAAAAAAAGCTTGTATCTGTTAAGTTATTTGAATACATTTTGCCTTATTCACATATCTCATTTCTGGTCTTTTGGCATTATCACTTCAGGTTTGTAGGATAAGACTTTTAAAGAAATAGCATCAATACGTTGGCTTTATTTGTCATTTATTGGTGCATTCACCTAAGCCAATTTGGTAATCTGTCCGTGTCGAACACTTCACATGGTAGAGTAACTTCAGAGTATGGCTGCTTATTGCTAACATTCCCTCTGCAAACAACATTTAAAAAAGGATATCAATTCCTTTTTTTTAGTTGTTAGGTCAATTAGCCCTGCTGTGTTCCCAGTCTGCTGACGAATACTGAGATCTAAAGCAGAATAACAAGTTCACCGATACTACTTCTGCTCAAAGTTTTTTTTTGAGTGATTCTACTTGGTGTTACAGCTAAACAATTAGGAACACATGCTTTTCTAAGTGCTGTTTGATTTTTTTTTTAAGGGAAGTATATTTACACTGATTCTTATCATGGAAAAGAGGAACAGCAGGGCATCTATTCATGAAATGAAATATCAAAATATTGATTTTTTTTTTAACCTGATATAATTTTTTCTATTAAACAGGTAAAAGTGGGCTAAAAAACAACAACAACAAAAAAAAAAAAACTGAAAGTATCACTTAAAGTTTGGGGTATTTTCAACATTTACATGATGTTCTGAAAACACATAAGAAGAAATTTAAAAAGCAAATTTTCAACAAAACACTTCCAAAGAGATGCCACAGTGAAGTATAGAACATTAACTCAAGTAGAATAAACTTAAATTATATTTTTAACGCCTTGATTGATATTTTTAACAGCTAACATCAATATATATATTTTTTTATTGGAATGCCAACAACAGCTTAATTGGTAAAATGTCATTAAAATACTTTGAATGAGCAAAGGAAATGGCTTCCTCTCATTAATGCAGTGCAGGTTTTTAATACGACAAGGTGAATCTAAAATAGCAATAAAAAGGGTTTGTTTTTTTGTTTTGTTTTAAACTGAAATCTCCTTTTTGGTGCCTTTCAAAATGGGGCAGCACTGATAAGACCACCAGCGCTTTGCAGGGATATCTGATGACACTCAGTCCCCCCACCCCTCTACTACTTATTCTGCTGCCACTGCGGGTGTGAAGGGGGGGTTAGAGTGTTTCATCCATTGTATGCAACCTGTTCCTAAGTTATGCCTGAACTGAGAAGAAATGAGATCATCCTTGTTCCCCCATATCTTTTAATTTCGATAAAATTGTACATTTAAAAAGAATGTATTACAAAGGTAGTCATCCTCAGTGAACCTTTTTTAAAATTCTGTCCCATTTAAGCTACAAACTAAAACATGGTTTACTAGGAATTGTTGGATGGGCACAAAATAGTGTGGTGCAGGCCTGATGTATATTTTTATTCATCCCTATTTCTTTCCTCATACTTTTACATGCATTTAAGTGCAACCAGCTGGTCTGGTTAAGAGAGTCCACTAGTGAGCAAGTGCGTAATGATTTAGAATAGAATAGAATTCAATTTTATTGTCATTGCTCTGTCACGAGTACAAAGCAATGAGCAAAAAGGTACAAGCAAAAAGTAATAAATAGGGACTGTAAAAAGTTGTGTATAAATATAAATATGAATATGGGAGCTACATGCACAGATTACACAGATTATACAGAATATACAGGAAGGTTAGGAAAAGGATTATATATGTATTAGCTGGTTTATAATACAAGTTAAATAATGGCAGATAAGATTTACAAATTATATACAGATTGTATACAGATAGTGTATGTGTGTGAGGACAGTCCATATGTTATTATTTCTGTCAAATCCAGTGAGATTAAATGAGCCCTTGGGCACTATCAATAAGAACAGATTTTGTTAGAGATAATAATATAAATAGTTTGAATTTTAGAAAAAAACTGTAGGATATTGAAGATGAAGGAAGATGACAAAGTACACAATGAATAAGAGTGGAAAAAGCAACTTATCCAATGCTAGAATTTAACGTTCAAAGATGTGTTAAACCTCTATGGTTTGTGATCATTCTAAAATCTTCATGATAGACTTTGTTGAGAGCATTTTAACACCCTGAGGTGACTTTGATGAACTACACCTCCACAATAAATAAAGGGACAAAAAAGTAACTAACATAACAACATATTCTCATTATGAGTGTGTATGAAGACGTTTGTCCTCAAAAAACCACATCAGTGCGCGTGTGCTGGCAGACAAAAAAAAAAAGCAGATCCGCGGACGCACGTAAAAATGGGAAAAACAGTGCAATCATCACTTATTCAGGTTTCTAACTACCTTGCTTGCTGTTTTATATCTTAGGGTTAGGGTAAGGGTCAGGGTTAGGGCTAATTGTAATTTATATTCTATATTCGTGAATGGTGCGTCAGATGCGCATGTGCATACGACGAAAAAAACGTCCAAAACGTACAAAATAACTTTTCGTACGATTTCACACGCACTCATAATGAGAATAGGTTGAACATAAACCTCTTTTCTTTGCGTATAAAACAAGACTCAATTAGGAAGAAAAAAACTATTTTTAAGTTGAGTTATCACAGCCTTAATCAGAGAAACAGCCAAAAGACTCATTGGAGGAGCTGCAGAGATTCACAGCTCAGGACGGGGAGTGTGGTCACAGGACAGTTACTATTTATTGACTCTAAAAAAGCTAGCTTTTAAGGAAGAGTGGGGAAAACAAAGCAGAACACATCCTGTTTCCAGTTTAATGGGCTCAACAGGAAACATGAAAGAGTTGCTCTGATCAAATAAGTCTAAAATTGGTCTTTATGTCTAAGGTGTGAAGTGCTTCATCTGGTTATTAATTTGGCATACTGTAGCATTCTCATGGTGACACATGCAAGTTCTGATTTTCAGATTATTTTCAACAGAAAAACTACAAAACCAGAGATTATTTATTAAGGAGTGTTGGCCTGGTGGGTTAGAGCTGTGTGCTCATGCTCTAAGAAGGTTGTAAGTACCTGGTTCGATCCCCACAGCCTCCACTGTGGGTTCCTGAGCAAAACCCTTAACCCCAAACTGCTCCCCGGCCACCACATAATGGCAGCCCAATGGTCCCCAAGGGAAAAATGCAACAAAATTCCCCATTGTGGGACAATCAAGGGATTTACATTGTTTTCCCTCCACTTTAAAGTTCTTCCTGACTTATTGAAGATCTATCCCTGTGATGTTGATATGATAAAATATAAAACATAACTTAAAGGAACATGAATACTTTAAAAAGAGTACACCCTTCTGATTGCAAATATTAGTATCCCTTTTTGTTTATTTTTACAACCGCAATAACATTGAATACAGCTCATCTTTGGGATATAATTATCTGCTGTATAAGATGGTGAGAGATGTGCTGCCCTGTTATCCTGCAGCCTTAGAGGCCAGAGGAAGATTAGAGCTGTGATCTCATTCCCAGCACTTGTTTGGAGTCTGTCAGGAAGAGAAATGCCAGCATTAGAGAGGTACCGCCACACTCCTGATATGATGAAATAAGGAGGAAAGGGGAAAGGGAAAAAGATGGAGGGATGGACAGAAAGGACCATGCCCTTCTCTGAAGTGTCAGTAGCTTGTTTATTCTATTTTTCATTGTAGCTGCTGGGGCAAAGATTCCCATTTTTCCTTTATATCCCCCCACCCGCCCATCCACACCCACCCACCTCCTGACAAAAAACACAGCTCTCATTTTTTATAGGTCTTGCAAACCCTCATGCCCTAGTGAAAATTACATTGTGAAACGGTAGAAATCTCCGGGCTGCCTGTGCTCGCCGCTGTCCCTCGGAGCTTTCAAACAGTCAACAGACTGTGAAGAATAAATAATAAAAAACTATTGATTATTTTGATGACTGCAAGATTCAATTAGGTATTAATTTTGCCCTCCAGTGGACCTATCAAGCAACTCAAAGGAGAGGCGGGGGGAGGGGGGGATTGTCCCAAACGCATGCAGAGCGCGGCCAGGCTCAGACAGAGGAGAAAATGTGTTTACGGCGGCGGGCGGAGAGGCGCATCGATGTGCAGCGTCCCACATTTAAGTGCTCCACAAATGAAGCCCTGATGAGTAGTGACATTGTTACCAGGGATATGAGTATTGACCAGTCGGCTCACGGATTTTAATGACAGCTTAAACTACTTCTATTGATTAACATTTTCATAGATTATCATGTGTCATATCAGAAAGGGCAGATTGCCGTGATGGGCACATTAAAAAGGCCCCTCTGGGCAGCAATTCATCGACCATCCTGATTGACGCAGGGGATTGTTGATGTGAGCAAGGGGGGGAATAAGACCCTCACCCTCCTCCTTTTTTTTTTTTTTTATCTGTGCTTATATATACATGCCGGTCACCTGTCCTTTGCTTAGGCACATTTAGGTTGAACCTGATTCATAAATAAGAAAGAGGCCCGTGGTGGTGCTGCTCCACGTCTGCGCCTCTGAGCCTGAGGTGGGGTGAACACTGTCTGAGGAGCTTTCTAGTCAGGAGACACAAGGGGGAAGAGACAGAGGGAGGGAGAGGAAAAAGGGAGGAGGTGACATCTTCAGGGGTTTTCTTTGGAAGTTACCTCAGGCTTGAACGTGTGCTGGTGATTTAGACGCAGAAAGGTTGAAGAAGCTCCTTCTGGTTACGTGGGAGGTACATCCTGACTGCCGGCTTGTTCTGTGGTGGCTCTTGCTTTGAGCTTTCTATAACCTCGTTTTTCTCATTCTCATCTGGAGCTTTGAAAGGTAGGAAAAGTTCTCAGGAGAGCTTTTTTTTTTCTTTTTTTTTTTTAGGTCATTCTGAAATTAAGTTTGTACTATTTCAAATTTGTATCATGATGTTTGTAAAATACACTTTCCGTTAATAAAGTGTCAGTTTATTTTCCACTTGACTCATTTGTAGATAATCTAATCATTCTGTATTGATGTTTTCTGATCTGGCAATAAAAATTAAAAACAATTGGCTGATTTTAATTAGGCTTTAAGTATGTATTGCTTTATAATCTGATGCAAGATATCACCTTTGATATAACTTTATGTCCCTAAATATGCACAAATTGTTGTGATCACTGTATTATAGTTCCCTCCTTTTCAGATTTATTTATTCCTCCCTTCATTGTAATTAGTAGGTATCTGTATGCTGAAGATGAGGCACATGTCAGTTAGGGATGTGCTGTCGGAGATGAATGTATCCCAGTTTCAGGACTGTAGTGCACGATGGTAAAGCCACGCGATCCGTAACAGCTCTTCACCAGGCAGCAGCCGGCAGGATCAGCGGGGTAGCACCAGTCTCAGATAAAAGAGGGAGCCAAGGAGGGGAGGGAGCAGGAGAGAGAGAGGGAGAGTGATGAGTGAGCAACAGGAAGGTGAAGCTTGGGTGGAGAGAAAGAGAGAGTGAGTAGAGACATAGAGAAGGAGTCGCTGAGGGTGAGCTGCTCAGGCAATCTAACCAGGGGCTTTTTCTCTCTTTTTTTCCCCCTCTCCTCCCTGTTTCCCACCTGGTCTCCCAGCTCCCATCAGGATCCGATGATTACAGGGCAGCTGAGCAAGCCGCTGCTCTCCCTGCGCAGCGACATGAGCGCAGCAGAACTCCGGGCAGACGACAAAGCAGCAACCCCAGAAAGCGATTTGAACGACGAACCCCTGCTCCTGCCCTCTGAGGCCACGGACAGAGAGGGCACTCCCAACAAGCTGTATGGTGAGTCCACTTTTATCTCTGTGTCCTCCTCTGCTGCTAACATGCCGGCTTACTTCTGACTGAGGTCCACTTTGAGTGGGAAAGCAGACCTGCAGGAGATGGGACAGGTGGAAGAAACTAAGCGCATGAATGAGTAAGCTGAACTTTCTAAGAGGTTCATCATAAAAGTGCAGAAACTGCTCATTTTACACAATTAAACCCAGAACTTAATTTTATAAGGATGGATAAGTTTGTATTAAGCTGGCTACACCCTAAAAAATAATAATAAATGTAGCATTATGTTAATTAGGATTATAATTTTCTAATAGTTTAGTTTTCCTGCCATTGTTAATATTTTGAATCAGCAGATGCGTAAATCTTTCAGTAAACATTTTAAACTGACTTTAAAAAGTAATTTTGTGCATCAGAATAATTTCCTTTAAGGCTAGCTTTACAACTTATCAAAGTTATGCTGCATAAAGTCGTTGATTTTTTTTCAATAATAAACAGGAAGATAAACAATTATGACTAAAATGTATATTAAAAAAGTTCTAAATTAGTGCTGAACAATTTCCAAATCTCTTCTATAAGTAGATTTATGTATTCATTAAATAATTAGAGTTTTTATTGTTGTTCTTGAGCAAATATATAATTTTCCTACAAGTTATCCAGATTAAAAATTGCATAAATAATTACATAATTTCTAAACTCTATATTTGATTTTTTTTTTGTTTTATCTCCTGAACTAATTAATTAATCCATTTTGAATATGTGTTGAAATATTCTCTTTTTCATTAATTAGTCATGTGGATTGATTCAACCCTGTTATGAATCAATAAACCTAATGAATAAATTAATTATTTTGAAGATCTAATTACATTTTTAATAAAACACATTTAAAACCTCAGGCCTCTTTTTCTGTAACATTCGCAAGAAATAAAGCCAGACCAATTAAATGTATTGGTTCTTTTTATTAATATATAACTAATATGTGCTGAAGAGGAAAATCTATTGTTTTCCTTCTTATAACAAGAACATGTTAACCATTCACATGTGAGATTTTATTTTATCGATGTCAGATTATTTTGAAAAAAGAGTAATTGTCAAATAGAAATGCTTGGAAAAGAAACCTAAAGCAGTTATAGAGCTCTAATGTTTTAAAATTATTTTCTTAATTGCCTTATATTATGTTGCTATGGATAATAATTGACAAGAGAAAAGAGCCTTTAAACAGCTTTTCCACAATACAATTCTGCAAAAAGAAAAGGCCCATTTTATTTCCCGATTGGAAGTTGTGCACATCCCTGCTCATTAACTGGTGTAAATGTGTTCTTATAATGTGTCAATCTGGGTTTGAGGATGGGATTAATAATGGGTGTTTATTCTGAATTTACACCACAGTAAATGGTGTGGGTTTTTTATGGTTTGTCAGGATTTATTGAAAGTTGTTGAAAAGACTCTCTGACTGTGTGTCTGGGTGTGTGTGTGTGTGTGTGGCTGTTTATGTTGTGTGGAAAGTGGCAGAAAGTATACCAGAGTTTCTTTGGATTAAGCTTGCCATATATTGGAGACTGAAAAATAAACAAAAAAATTGGGAGCAGTAGAAACAAATATCCCTCTAACTTATAGCTCAGAGTTTAGCACTCAGTTATATTTCCCAAATAACTCCAGGCTAGTCCTCTAAACAAGGACTGCACGCTGCAGGATTTGTCTTGAATGTATTGCAATTTGCTTTAATAATCATCAAGTCGTTTCTTTCTGTTTGATCAGCTTTTATCTGACTCTTTTACTTTTACTTTGTTTCTATTTTACTTTCCTCTTTCAGATAAGTTGATACCTTTAGATGCTTAATCCTACTATTTCTGAGAAATTAATTGGAATATTTTAAGCAGAAATACCTGTGAAACTTTTGCATAAACAGCCAGTTGGGTGTTTGACTCTACTCTGTCTAAATGTGGCTATTTTGAGCCACTACCATTTCTGCACGCTGTGAGCTTTGTGGGATGGTTGCCCCTGCCCAGTGGTAGAGCCTTGGGCTGTGCCAGCAGCAGCTATGGTTTTAGAGCTGTCGCACAGATGACTTGTGAGGAAGTAGCAGGGAAATCTTGCAAGGTTGTGTCCTCTGCTGGCAGGCTTGAAGAGTGGAAAAGAGAGGGGCATTGAAGAGGAGAAACTCGATATCTCTTTGTGTAAAAGATCTAAAATTTAGAAGAAACCTGAATTGATCATTTTAAGAGGAAGTTATTTTTTTTCTTGTTTGAAAGGGTTTTCTATAAGTTTTGGTGTGTGTCGGGTTTAACATTTTGACACTTTTCTTTAAATTCTGATTGATAGCATCAGCTGTTAGTTAAGTCCATGAAGCTTTTCTTAGATATCAAAATGTAAAAAAAAAATGCTTAATACTATAGAAACAGAGTGATTCTTTAGATGTTCTTTAAACTTAAGTAAAATATTAAAGCTTTTTTTCATCTCTGAAAATCTATATAGGCTAAAACTCAGGAAAGGATTTGAAAAGGGTTATATTTTTCTTTATGGTTTTGGTTTCTTATGTAGTTCTGTGTGCCTGGATTATTGAAATAAGAGCGCAGAACTGTTCCGGTATTAACATGAAGGGCATGGATATTGAAAATAAAATCAGCGAATTTAAACCAGACTTTAGGTTGTTTTCATGGTTCTTTTTATGTGGCTTTGAGCAGAGTATATGCCACAATATTTACAGTTTTGTTCTTTTCTTGGACCGGGGTAAAGAATCAACAGATGATTCTACACTTTGATTTGCCACATTGTTTGCATGAAAATATTTGTTTCCGATGGAGCGCTCCAGTTTCACGCTTGACAGACAGTCTACCCAGCTCATCGGGACCTCCACAACAAAGTTCACAAGGTAACCAGCTAAAAAAAAAAAAAAAAAAAAAACTGCCTAAATGTGTGTAAATTCTATCAGCTTTGAAAGGCAGTCATGTCAGTCCTGCAGTACCTCAGCTGTCGGCATGAAATAAAATTAAATCAATAAATTTCTGATCGTTTTTCTTTAATTACTGTCAGTGCTTGTAGTCACTTGTAATATATCACACCGCTTTCAAAAGAAAAGTAAAAATTACATTCTTTATTTTAAATCTTAATAAGCTTTAAAATGAAGTTGGAGCAGGAAGGGAGGCAGCAGTATATTTACCTCTCTTCAGGGGGTAAATTAAAACCCATATGAGAGACCTTTGCTGTTCTTCCTATTTGCAGAAGTAGTAAACACAGACAATAAAGTCATGATTTGCTGTGCTTAATAATTACAGGATATTGTAGAAAATAAATTTTCTATATCCCCTTAAACATCTATTTTTAAAGTGAAAAAGATTACATCAAACTGGGCACAATCAAGTAGTCTGATGCATTTTCCTAAATTGTGATATTATAACTGACTCAGCAGCTATGTTTTGTTTACCATTGTGGGTTACAGTTTTACAGAAACCTTAGACTATGCCATCAACATTTAGAGAACATCAGTGGTTATAAATTCTTCTGTTAGCTTCTTAGCTAGGGCTAGAGCAGATTTTATTTATTTTTTTCAACAAAAGTACATTTGAGTTACCAAAAATAGGATTTTTTTTAAAAGCAAACAGTTCTAGTCAGATTTTTCAGCTACTTTCGTGTACAACTCTGCCTTTAAAAGTGCTACAAACAATTATTGAGCGATGTTCCCTGCTGAATTTTCACCTTACAACCATTTTTTCCACAGCTTTATCATTATTACATTCTCACAAGTACATAGCAACGAAATGAACTCTGCATTTAACCCATCCCCTTGGGGAGAAGTGGGCTGCCGTTGTGTGGTGCCCGGGGAGCCCTAAGCACTAGGCCACCACTCTCCAAACTAGGTGACACTCCCCATTGTATTTCCAATGTATATACAACTTACTACTGAAAAATAATAATCAGTTTTACAGTTATTTCAACATTTGTAAGGTTTGCTTTGAAAAAGGATGCAAACAGAGTCCATATAGCAGCAAATTTGACCTTTTAGCAGAATACATATCTACTAAATGTCAGTTAAGTCCTTATTATCCAACCCAACCTCTGAACAGGGTAAATCCTTTATCAAAGAACATTTGCATGAAATCTAATGCCAAAAACAGATCTGATATGATATTTGAGCTCTCACAGGTTTGAAAGTGTTTTAGGCTGCTTTTCATATTGACACGTACACCATTACACTCTTTATTATTAAAACATAAAAATGAGTGGCCGCATTGGAAAAATATCATAATGTTGTTTTAAAAGGTTTGTATTTTGACCTTATCTTTTTTACCTCTGTGCCAGGCATGGTATCACAGGACGGCTGTTCTGCTTTTTGAATATCCCTCTTCTTATCATAATGCATGCATGTGTCAGCATGCACATTTTTTAACTGATATATGCAGTCAAGCCGAAACATATTAATTTTACAAGAATATTTCCTTTAACTGGAAGTAATATTAGGGTCAAAAACCCTTACTTGGACCTTTTAAACAATCCAATCCAATGGGAGGAGAGAAGTGAAGATTAGGGTTATGTTAAGTAGATCTTCTGACCTTAAAATAAACCTTCAAAATCCCAGTTAAAACAAAAAAGTAAATTAGCAAGTATAACATTTTTTTTAATTTTTAATGCAAATTAAATTACCCGACCAATTGATGACAAAATCATTTATTTGTCTTTTTACATTTTTAAGTCCATGAAATTATTTTGAATCTAAATCTAAAAGAAGTATATTTACATAATAATTATTTATTACATCTTTTAATAAGTGGCTTTTGTTTGGTCAGGTGAAAAGCTGCTGGAAAGATGGTGATATTAGATCCCAACTAAGTAAACATCAGCATACCTTTTTTCCCCCATTAAAGTTTTTTTTTATTTGTTCACATTTACAGCTTTTAGAGAATACAGTAAGTGTCTGAGACTCGCCTCTGTGCAATCAGACCTTCAAAACTTGTGTGTCAGGAGCTCGTTTTAAATCAAAACTAAAATTATTTGTGATAAACCTGCCTGAG